TTTTTTTTACAATTTATACACATAATTTAGACAATAAATTATAAATATTTTTTAATATTCATACATTTTTTTTTTGTGACCTATAATTTAAATTCTCTTCCAATCTTGCATAAAATAGAAAAATATTTAATTTTAGAATCGAATATTTTCGACACCTATTAAATTAATTATAGATTCTAATGCATGCTAAATTATATACAGCCATTTATGTTTCCTACAATTCCCCAATCTTTGAGTACTCCCTCTCAAAGTTTATATTTATCTTTCCAGGCGCCGACTACCGCACCAACTTGAGCGTTTCCATACTGCAGCTGAGCGAGAAGGGCGAGCTGTACAAGCTGAAGAACAAGTGGTGGAAGAATCACAATGTGACATGCGAATCATTTCACGAAGTCGACGGCGATGAGTTGTCCATCATTGAGTTGGGCGGCGTTTTCCTGGTACTGGCCGGTGGAGTTCTGACTGGCGTCATCCTGGGCATCTTTGAGTTTCTGTGGAACGTGCAGAACGTGGCCGTGGAGGAGCGTGTGACGCCCTGGCAGGCACTGAAAGCGGAACTGTTGTTTGCCCTTAAGTTTTGGGTGCGCAAGAAACCGATGCGCATATCGAGCAGCAGCAGCAGCGGAGGTGATAAATCCTCCCGTCGATCCTCAGCATCCCGGCGCAGTTCCAAGGAGAAAACACGCAGCAAAACGAACAGTTAGTTCAATAAGTCTAGACCATTTAGTTATCATTAAACCAACTTGCAAAACTGTTGAATAAAAGTAAAATTTTAATAGGTAACAAGACAAATTTTAGCTAAAATATTTTGTAATTATTGTCTGGTTCCTTCATGCCGTATATATAGAAATTCTATATAGCTTTTTTTTTACCGCCCACCATTTTGTGTTGTTTTTCTTTCCTCTTTGTTGTTGTTGTTGTTGTTGCGATGCCGCTACACCCTACACGGCGTGCTGCGTGGGCTATAGACACGCTAGATTTTCATATTTCAGCTGTCTCATTTCCAGTGGGCAGCAGCTGATGCCATAGTCTGTGTGGCCTAGAAAGCATATTAGGTCCACCAATTTGGTTGACTTGTCCATAAAACAAATGGCTCTCTCTCCCAACCAAGAAATGTCTGCTAAAATAAGCAGCACTCGCATTTCGTTGTTTGCCGTTTTCCAAAAACAAAACAAAATGTGTTCGAAAGATTTCTTAAAATTTTTAGCTGGCTCAGTGCCTCGTGAGCAGCGCCTCCGACCAGAGCCCAGTTGGCATCGATTGGCTTCCATTTGGTGCTGTCGTCATTTCATGGAATATTTTTTACGCTCGTTTTGTTTTTATATTTGATAAACATATATATAGATATATATATATAGTGATACATATTTATATGTATCTTTGTGCATGCATGTGAATAAAGTGAATTGTGAAGTGTTTTTCTTGTGCATCGCATTATATAAAAATTAAAATGTTAACTATAAACATATCAATTTGACATACATAAAAAATATATACAAACAAAATAAATAAATAATGTAAATGTAGTAATGCTAATTTGAGTTTAGCTATATAAATATGTTTCTATTAAAGTTCCTGGCTTTGGCCGCCCTCGTCTTGGGCAGCGCGGCAAATAATGGYGATGTCTTGGTCATTAAAATTGGTAAACCTTAATTATATTA